ACACTGTGCCTGTGACACTGTACCTGTGACATTACTGACACTGTGCCTGTGACACTACTGACACTGTACCTGTGACATTACTGACACTGTGCCTGTGACACTACTGACACTGTACCTGTGACATTACTGACACCCCCCAGGCACAGCTCATGACCACGCAGGACACGGGCCCAGCCCAATCCTCAGTCCAAGCACAGGCCCTGCTCCCAAAAAGCTGCTCCATCAGCCCCCCAGAGCCACTGGAGGTGCAGCAGTGGGAACATGCTCATGAGAGCAGAGCAAACGAGGTGTCAGATGATTCATGCTCCAGGGGCTGGATCAATGAATAATGCAAATACTATCACTGAACATCCCCAGTTCCTTTATTTGACAACTGGAGTTGACTTTTAATTACTGATAACAGTTCAGCACACACAGGAAATGTGCTGCAGAATATTTCTTAAAGGTAATGAGGCTTTAGTAACACCTGCTATTACATTACTAGGGCTCCATTATCTTTACAAAATACCCCACTGAGTAATGCCGTGCCATAAATCCTCACCAAGCACTGAGGCTTCTATTTTCCTGGGAATTACTGTTCAAACAATGAAAATTAAGAGTTCTCCAGCAAGCACAGAGCTTGGGCAAGAGTTATGAGATGAGTTTCAGAAAAATTTAAACCCTGAGAAGAACCTAAAGTTTATGAAGGTATGAATTACAGCCCAGAACTGCTCATGCTATCACTGTCACAGCATAATGAAATAACCAGGTGGGCAAATCCTTGGCCACCTGTGTGCAGAGTTATTGTGTGGCACTGCAGAGCATAATTCAAAGGAGGTTTCATGCACTCAGGTCCTCTTTGGAATATTTTAAATCCCAGATAATCTAAGCTTCACATCTCAAAGAGATCTATCTATCTTGTCATGCCTTTCTTCCCACCTCTGAGGCCCAAGAGAGGAATTTAGAGTAGAAGTTACTGAAAAAAAGGATAAAGGGATTAAAAATGCAAAGGTTTATCTCAGCTTTTCTGGCTGGAAATCTGGCTGCATCACATGATCTCTAACACCTCTCTTGTTAGTGAGCTCAGAAATGAGACAAAAATAGCAAAGAAAGGGGAAAGTTTCATCCCATGAGCTTCATTCAAAGGGGGCGAGTATTTACTAAGAAGAGCTCACTTAATCCAAGCCCAGATACTCTTCCAGCTGTGCTCAGGTGACATTAAAGATGTCACAGTTCCCCTGTGAAGGGAGCACAGGATAAACACAGAAGTTAAGTCAATGTGCTCCATCTTCATCCCTCAGGTTCCGGCATCCACGGCTGAGACATTCCTGACTGTCCCTGCCACTGAGGCTGTGTGTGCACACGGAGAAATCCAGGGGTAAGCACAGCTTGAGCAACACTCTGAAGTGTTTGTGGTTTGGAGGCACTAAATACATCAATGTCTGCTTTGAAAATTCAAGTTCTCCCACTTCCCAGAGCAGAGGTTGCCTCACGCTGAGCGTTTCACTTGGCTCCCAGCTCTGGGAACAGAAGCACTCACATGAGCAGTTGGACTCTGCCCCAGCTCCCAACCCTCCTCCCTCTTTGCCCAGGAGTTGTTTGATCCTTCCCATCTCTTCCAGGATTTTACAGAGCCTCCACATTCCTCTCCCAGTGGCTGAGGACATGTGTAATTGCATGGGAAAGGACTGAGCCTTGGTTCAAGCCTAAAAAAGCAAGAGCCCAGCTTGCTTTTCATGCTTGCTGCATGAAATGTAGCAAAGCAAAGCATGACATGTTTCCTTGGCATACACGAAGTGCACAAGAATAAAGAAAAGCACAGTCTGATCTAGAAATGATAGATTCCAGTTGCTACTGAACAATTCATTTTCAGAGTGGTAACACTGGTATAAAACCCCACTTGTCACTTGTCATACAAGTAAGGAAAAGCTTAAATGCAACAAGTTGTTCCTTGGCTTTAACTGACCAATCATCTTCTGGAGCAGGAGGCCATTTCCTTTCCCAAAAAGCACGCAGAGATCCAGAATCTTTGGGATGTCAAACAGGAAGTTGTTGTAAATGATTTCTCCAAAGACAGAGGGAGTGATAAAATGTTCCTACAAAATAAAAAACCAGGAGTAATTTAAAGGATAATCCTCCCCTTGCTCTGAGGTAACTCCAGCATTACGACACCCCTAAAAACCTCTCTCAGAGGAGTGTTAAGAGTTTGGTTTCAGAGAAGGCAGCAGCTCTGCTTGAAACAGCTTCTGTGGAGACATCCACATTCCTAGCTGCCTGTCACTGCCACTGATTTCTTCATGTGAAGTGAATCAATCTACCTAAAAGTTAAACCAAAAATGTCTCCACAGTTCATGAGTCCCCAGCCTGGGGACAAACAGCTGAGCTGGCACAGAACAGCTCAGGAGCAGGAGTGAGTGACCAGGCACAGGCACAGCCTCACTGGCACTCACACAACAGGTCACAGCCTGAGGTTTTTGGACCTTGGGAGAGCAGAACCCGGGCACCAGAGATCACAGAATCAGTGACAAGCACGAAAAAGGCCCAGGAGCTGCAGCTCTGTACCCTGACTGCTGAACACTGTGCCGAAAACTCGTCACGCTGAGGGAATTTCTTCCAAAATTCTAGATGAAAAAAAAAGGTCTGACACTGAGAAACAAACATCTGAAACGTGACTTTGGATTTCCAGAAGCCCAATTTGCCAGTGACAGCGAATGTTTTCAGTTCTGGTGAAAGGCAGGGCACGTTCTCCCTGCTGAAGCAGAGGGACAGGTCCAGTTTCCAGAACTCCTGCATGACAACAGACCATTCATTCCCCTCAAATCACTCAGCTGTAAAATGGTTTCAAATGCTCGCCTGCCTCTTGGAGAAGTGAGATTTAATCAGACCCTGGAATGAAAGACACCACAGAGGTGTTGAGTGCCTCTGCTGAAGTGGTGCCAGCTGCTGGATCCAGCATTCCTGCTACCTGCTCCTGCCCCAGTCCTCCAGCTCCCCCCACGAGCCCTTTCCTAAATATTTTATCCCCAAATAACACATCAAGAACCAATGAGGAGATCAAGGGAGTAGTTGCTAAAACAAAAGGTGCCTCATCCATCCTGCCCAAAGGCCTGGTGAAAATTCCACAGCTCCTGGTGGGAGTTGCACTCACACTATTAGTGCTGAGTCTGTCTTTAATTATAGAATCCTGGAATGGGTTGGGTGGGAAGGGACC